TTTTTTTTTTATTAAGAATTCCCCAAATATATTAATATAAATTGACAAAACAGAAAATGGGGGGGCTCTAATTAGCAAGTTGAAGTCAAAGATTTTTGATTTGTTAGTGATTGCTGGTGAATTTACAGCTCTTATGGTCCTTAAAAGAACCACTGCCAGGTCTACCAGATGATGGTGTTTTCATCAACGTTTACAGTTCATGTTGCTGATAGGAACATGTGGTCACCTAATCTATTGTAATGTTTCCATCTGTAAATATTGACAGGGTACAATCAGACAGCCTACTTTTGCAGACACCACTGTGGTTTTGACTAATTTCTTTGCATTGGCCTAATCAAACGTAATGTTTCTGTTGTAGGTAACTCAGTCCAGCAGATCGGCCTCAGCCTGCCAGTCATCATCATCAAACAGGAGGAATCCTGCCAGTGTCAGTGTGCCTGCAGGGACTCTGCTAAAGACAAGAGTGCAAAGAGTGCCTCCTCCATCGTTTCAGCCCCATCACATCAGCAGCCACCAGAGCCCCCTCCCCCGCCACTATCAGAGCCTCAGCACCATTCAGCAACTTCATCTTCCTCATGCTGCCCCCCCAAGTCTTCCTCCAAGGTGGGTGAGGTGACACTGGAGGCCCCCTCTTCTTCTTCTTCCTCCTCCACAGCTCAGACTTTCTCCACAATAGTGAGCGGCACTGCCGCCAACCCACCCTCATCTGACGGGTTAGCCAGTATGGACGTCTCAGACTTCCTGTCCCTGCAGAGCCCTGAGACAGCCGCCAACATTGAGGCTCTGCTGCTGGTCGCAGATGACTTCAGCATGGCTACTGATGGCAATCCTTAAAAGAGCTGCCTTTGGAGTCTGGCACCACATGTTTGTCTGTTGCACCCACTCGCCCACAAGCGTTGATTCCACCCACACCTCGAGTCACTCTCCGAAGTTATGCCTCTTCTTTCACCCTATATAGCGTGTGCATTGAAACCCCCCAGTACCTGCAGTGCATTCTGCTTTGTATGGCACTGGGACAGGTATGGTATATATACAAAGTATGTGTAACTTTTCTGTTGAGTCTCATTGCAGTAGTTGAGTTTTAGCAACTTAAACGCTAATTAATGCAGGGAAAAGGCAGTAGATCCTTTGTTGAAAAGATAAACTCTTTATAATAATCCTCACTCTGAATTGATTGAAATGACCAAGTGTTGTCCAAGCACTGATAATTTAGAGTTTCATTGTCCTGGCTTGAAGGTCACACACCTTAGCAGGAAAACAAAACTCATCTGTCCTTGTACTGTATCCTCGTACTGTACTACAGGTCCTAACAAATTCTTTAGGCTGGTATGCAAATAACCATAATGCACTGTATATGAGAGGATTTTGCTACAATTTTAATCAAGCATTGCTCCCAGCAAAAATTTAAAGAGCTTGGTCACACAGCTTCCCACGTGGCTGTCTTGTAATATGAAGTGATTTCCTCAGTATTTTGTTTGTTTTCTATGAAGACTAGTGCGGTCCAGATAATGTGATGATTCTTTTTTACTTTTTTTGAGAACCTGTGATCAGATCTGCCTGTCTCTTTAAGCGACATAACGTCAATAAGTTGCCTATAACTTAAACTAACTTAAAATTGTATATGTTAATTTATTTAAATGCCTGATTCTTTCAATATAATGATACTATCATCTTTGAGATAGCAGAAATAATCTATTAATTTATTCGAATCACATGTTTTTTTTAAGTTGAGCTGCTTTTTTGTTACTGAATTGTTTTACCTTCATAAGAACGTAAGTATTGTAAAAACGAGGCACGTGTAGTAGACTGCACAGTCAAGCAAAATATCCTCTAGGATCTGCTTGTTTGCAAAAACTTGCCCACAACTAAACTATAAGGAACTACTGTCAACATCCCATCTTCTTTAGGGTTGTGACCCTCTCAGGGATGCATCAAGTCATAACTGTTCCTGGTTCCCACAATTTTCTCAGACATGCATTTTCCTTGCCGGACGGCCCACACTCGCAGTAGCCCTACGTTTTTGCTGCACTCTTCCCTGTTTATTGCACACTAACTTGTAAAGTTGGTTCTGCATATCGGTTAGGCTGATTTGCGGCACCACTACAGAGTTTTTGTATAAACCTGCTGTAAAGTAGCATTTAAAAGATGGTGTCCTGGTGACAATGTAAATATGGTACATTTTAGTGTAAACATCTTTGGAAAACTTGTAGATTATTCTAGAATTTGTATTTTTGTATAGACTTTTGAATTGCTAACTCTGAGTTTGAACCTAATGTATACTCTGTTCATTCTTCTCCCCGTCACGTTTATGCAGAAGATGTTTTTGCTGTGTTTTAGTTGAATAGTTATACAAGCCGCTGGGTTTCTGTATAGTCCACATTGTAAGAAAATATATGTAATGCATAGCCTCTGGCTCAGAGTATAATTTAACAGTATTGTTTCGCATGGGACACAATGCAATGATGATAGAGTAAAGGCATTATGCCCTGTAAATGACAGTAGAGCTTCTTGGCCTTACAACATTAATTGTTCTGTAAGCCTCCTTGCCTTGATAGCCTCTGCTTTAGTAATCGGCTTGTTGACACTCTGTTTTCACATTCACTGACTCTCAGGCAGCCATTCCAGCAGCAGATCACACCAAGGCAAAAGCATGGAGATTTTCCAGTTGTGATATTGGGAAAGTCGAATGGGCTTTACCAATATAATACTATAATATTTCAGCATTGACTTAAAAAAAGAAATTAAACTCAGCTATATAACAGATGCAGACATTATGATTCTGCTTTTAATTTCCAATTTGCAGAATCAATCTTTAAAAAAATAAAAATAAAAAAAAAAGTAAAGTTTTAATCTGGCTCCTCTGGTGTGATTTAGGAAATTTATAGGAGCCACAAGGCAAATTTCCTCCCATAATACAATATTAATTAGATGTCTGGAGCATCCAAATCTGACATTGACTCCAGTGGATATTAAAATAATTCCCACAAAGAAAAAAAAAAAAATACCACCGGGAGTCGTACCTATTCACCATTATACATTTTCATACAGATCATTGGTGAACCCAACTATGCAATTTTAAGTGTGGTATTTACAAGTTCAGTTACCGACTCAAAGATTAAATGGTTACTTATGCCTCCCATTAAGTAATATTTGCTGCAATATAGCTTTGAGCTACAGTGCTCCTGTATATTTTGCATTGAATGGTGTGAATCTGGACTGTAGTGAATCCATGAAGTACTGTTTCACAGCCACCCTATGGCCTCTGTAATTGGTTTAATATCAGCTGGATTTGCATGTTTAAGTATTTGGCAGTTTTGTTATTTTAATCAGATATTTTCCATTTTAAGCTTAAATATGTTTAGAATTCCATCCAGTTTCATCATTTCGCACGCTTCAGTTTAACATGTGAATTATTGGTTTCTTTCATTAAACAGAGAAATTTTGCCTTTGTCGGCCAAGTTCACGTGGCTAATATTTACATCAGTCTGTAGTGTCAGCAAATCAATTGTGGCGACATTTGTTTGGAAGCAGATTGTTCACAAGTGTAGATTCTTTGGAATTTCTGCCGGCTATATTTTCCAGGAAGAGCTGGGGCAGGGAGAAAGAGGAAAACGACATGCTTCCAAAGGAATGTCTTGACACCCAAAGAGTGAGGAAATGTTAAGAATTTGTATTTTTTAAAGAATGTATAATGTGAAACTGTTTGCTTATGCGTTTCATATAAATATGAGTAACTTTCTGAATTGAGAGCAATATAATACTAATAAAACCTTATCCTTGTCACTGAAATGTTTGCTTGGTGAAGCATTTTGTGTTACTTTAATAGAATTCATTCATTTAGTTAGATAGCAATCAGCAGGTGGGAGGGGTCTTCCTCTTCTCTTCATTTCTGGAGTGGTGCGGACACATCCTGGGGGGATTTCCTCTGTAACATTTAACCAGTATCATTTAAAAAAAAAAAAAAAAAAAAAAAAAAAAACCATTTGTAGTAGAATTCAGAGACCAGAAGAAAACTCACTTCTAGGGCATGACGCAAGTCCTTCAAGTCATTCTCGATCTTTTTGCACAGGGCTATTTTTTCAGACAGGTCCAACAGTCTGTCCTCGATGTCCTGTAGAGCCTGCGGAGGACGTGTTGGTTAAAATGCCTAGCACAATCAGGCTAAAATGTCATGCTGTGACTCACCTGTCTAGTCTCGGAGCCTGCCTCATCAACGCGCCCAGACGGCAAATCCTCTGCGCAACCTGCAAGTGTTCAAAACATACCTGGACAAACCCGCTGATAACATGAAAGCTGGAGGGCAGCAGGCGACCTTACCAGTTTCCGAGGCCATGATCAAATACACATTTGTCTTGCAAGCTCAGCGTGTTTCATAGAGGAAGGGCATTCGGTGTTTTTAAGCAGGTGTGCTCAGGTGATTTATATTTTACTAATTAGTGAATGACGAGGGAAAGAACTGCCCAGGCCACTCTGGACATATGTTTCTACCACTGGGGGAGGACAAAAAAGGCACCAATAAGTGAAAGGGTATATTTCGGGGTATAGTTTCCCATTTTTGACTTAACTACTGAAAGTTCTGAGAAATTCACTTGAAGTTAATAATCTGTTTGGGGTTTTTGTTGTTTTTTTTCCCCTATAAATAGCAAAAAAAAAAAGACAGGTTTGTTTTTTCCCAATGAAAGTGTCTCGTATTAAAACATTTTTATTCACTGCTGTTTTTCCTCTTTTTCCGTAAACGTGATGCATTTTATTTTAAATTTTTATTTTTGATATAACCAGGCTCATAATTTTTATTTATTTGCAAAAGGTAAAAAAAAATGAGCTAAAGAATGCAGTTGGCATTCGGTTTAGAAAGATAGAGAGAGAGATATCTCTTTAGAAATGCTATAAGTATATGTCAAGTGTGAAATTATACTCGTTTTTATGGCGGTCATTGGTATTAGTCTGCATTTTTCCGTGCCGCTGGCTCTTTAATTGTTGTCGTCATAGATTGGGGGCGTAACCCGGAAAAATTCTATCATCTGGTCCCACCACAACACGTTGCTCGTGTGAGACAGGGTAGTCCTCCGGATGAACGCTTGATTTTATGAAGCTGGTATGTAGTATTGCTGCTGTATTAGTAAATACATCTAAAGGAGTTCACGGTTCAGTCGCAGCTCGTCGGATCAGTGCAGAGATGTTTAAAGAGCTCAAGACAAAAGTGTTGCGTCTGTTACCGCCGACCTCCAACGGACCGACGGTCCATCGGGACGAGACAGGTACATGTGTCTAACATTCAAAGTGGACGTAGGTCTCGCTTAGTGAAGCAGAGTGTGTTTGTAAACAACCGGCTCTGATTGGCGCTAAGCAACGTAAACACTGCACCATGTTGCATCAGATTCTTGGTTTTCCTGTTATGTGTGACTCACAGCTAACCCGATGTGATTCTAACATCCAAAACTAAGCTCCAGTTAAGTCACAGTAGAGTGAGCACTGCCAGTTAGGATGAACTGCTTACTTTGTAGCTGTTTGCCCAAACTAGAAATTAGTAGCAGAAATTCAAAGTTGTACACCTAATTCTTGTTGTTGTAGTCATTATGTATGCTGTATTCCACTGTAGAAAAAGGAAAACAAAAGTTAAAGAAATTATTAAAAGCCCCAAACTACCATAACGTTCATGCCTTTGTACTGTGTGAAAACCTCAGGTCCTCATCTGGCCCTATCCAAATGGAGTTAAATTACGTATTTTGCCTCTTCGGATACTTGGGTTGAACTTAAGCAGATCCTTTTGACAATCACTGCTTTAACAAGTTTAACATTTAAACAGGTGTAGAATGAAATGTACTAAGACGATGAGTATGCTGACAGGTGTTCTTAATGTTTTGAAACTGCTTCTACAAAAATTTGAGAAAGCATGGGTCTCTGAGCAGCTCAGTGAGTGAGTAGGAAGCCACCTGTGCAATAAGACAAGTTGTCACATTACCTTGCTACTAAATATTCCACAGTCAGCTGTGAGTGGTATTATACCCACTCAGCCATGAAGTGTGATTTTATCACTTCATGGCATTCATAATAATTTGTGTGCCCTTTCCATTAATGGTCATCAAAGACTAACCATGGTGCAATACATAGACAAATCGTGATTTATGTGCATGACAACATCTGCGACAAACAAGACCCTGACATGCATGCTAAAGCCTTAGAGAAGAAAAAAGGAAAAAAAAAACCAAAACACCTGAGAAACAAACAATCTAAAACAACCACACTGTGCCAACCCTCAAGGCAAGAAGAGGTCTCAAGAAGAGGTCTCAAGCTGAGGCGGCAGTGTTGTTGTGAAGACCTGTGTATGTTTTTTGATTCGCATATACTTTATCGAGTGTCTGCTGAAGCACTGATCAGACCATAACACACTCTTGTGAGTGTGTGCTTAAACTCACTCACACACATACACTCACTACACACGCTGAGCTGACGTGTGACTTCACTGTGTGATTTTATCACTTCATGGCTGATGAAGTGTGATCACAGTGCAGACTCGGCGGATGCTGAGATGTATAGTGTGCCGAGCTTGCCAACTTTCTGCAGAGTCAGTTTCTATGCACCTCCAAAACTTCACATGGCATTCAGATTAGCTCAAAAGCAGTTCATAGAGAGCTTCATGGAATAGGTTTCCATGGCTGAGTGGCTTACATCACCAAGTGCAATGCAAAGCAATACACTGGTGTAAAGCACGCTGCTACTTGACCCTAGAGCAGTGGAGACGTGTTCTCGGGAGTAATGAATCACATTTCTACATCTGGCAATCAGTTGCCAGGAGAACAGAACTTGTGTGCAATGTGCCAAGTGTAGCGTTTGATGAAGAGGGGAATTATGACGTCTGGTTGGAACTCCTAATGCTTCAGCACACCAAAACAATTTGGACAATTTCATGCTCCTGCCTTTGTGGGAATAGTTTGGGGATGGCCTAGAGCTGGGCGATAGAACGATAACGATATGTATCGCGATATAACTTTTACTCGATAGAGAAATTAAGCTATCGCGATAGACCTCGCCGCTCTTGTCCTCTTAAAAAAAAAAAAAAAAAAAAAAAGGTCAGCCAATCCAAATTAAGCAGCGCAGAGCCGAACCAATCACAGCCGCAGCGTCACGTCGCGTGACTTGTTACGTACAGCACAAGTGCCAAGCCGCACGTGTGTTTGTATGGGAAACAGCCAGCGGGTAATGGAGCCAGCGCGTAATGGAGGAAATGAGTGTGCCGACTAGAAAAATCAACCGAGCGTGACCGAAGAGAAAACAGATGATGGTTCCAATGCCGGAGAGATTGTCGAACGGAAGAGCCATAGAAGTTCCGTAGTGTGAAGGTATTTCGGCTATTTCAAGTCTGACAAAAACAGAGTAGCGTGCACTGTAAATGTGCCGAAAGCAAGTCTGGAAATACAATAAACTGGTGCATGCGTCACACTGCGCGCCACGTTATTGTTTCGGTGAAATGAATTTCTACAATACTGTTAATTCTACTCTCTGCAGTGTTTAAATGCTTACATATACACACAGTTACTGTCCCTCCACACATACGACTCTGTTCTGCTTCTATGCCCCAGCTTTGTTTACTTTTTCCCACCGAGGCTTCTAGACTTCTGATTGGCCAACATTTCTGCACGGTTAGGAATCTAGCGCCACCTGCTGCTTTGGCATGTTCATAGCAGCGTTTTCCTTCATTTCTGCCTTTATGTGTGGACGGGATTATTTTTTAAAACGAAAACGGAAAATCTCCGTTTTCAAAAACACCCGTGTACGTGTGGACGTAGCCTCAGTCTCTGACTGGAAGCGCTAATTCGTCATTCGGCTTTTGTCAGACTAATGTAACTGTTAAAACTGTTTGAAAAGCTCAGCTATACAACAAGGAGAGATTGAGAATTTCCTTTTAGTTCTCAGTTTATTTGATATTGACAAAGGTTAGTCAGTTTTGTCTGTTCTTCTGTAAAACAAACTAAGATTTATTTTTAGAATTAATATTTTGTTTCTAAGTGGAATTGACAATTTAGTCTGTTTCGTTTGTTCTATTTTGAAACTTAAACGCTTTAGCGGCTGCCTTTTGTGTAGTTTGCAATATTTGCCTTTATTTATCTGAAAAAGTCTCATGTTCCTTAAGTACATCTACCCTGTTGAACTTATTATGGGAAATAAATATTTAAATAAAAACAAGCTGCTGATTATTTCACATTTTACTTGTGAGCAACAGCACATTTAAATCTTACAAATATAGTTATTTGGCTTATATCGTGATAGATATCGTTATCGCCTGAAATGAAAAGAACATATCGTGATATGAAAAAATCTCATATCGCCCAGCTCTAGGATGGCCCCTTACTGTTCCAACAGGACTGCACACCAGTGCACAAAGCAAGGTCCATAAAGACATGGATGAGCGAGTTTGGTGTGCAAGAACTTGACTGGCCTGCACAGAGTCCTGACATCAACCCGACAGACACCTTTGGGTTGAATTAGAGCAGAGACTGTGAGTCCAACATCAGTGTTTGACCTCATGCATGCACTTCTGGATGGTTAAAATTCCCATAAACACAATTCCCAGCTGAGCTGAGGCTTCTATGGCTGCAAAGGCTGGGCTGACATATTAAATCCTCTGGACTGAGAATGGGATGTGTGTGTGAAGGCAAGCAACAAATATTTTAGCATTATAGTATATATGTGATTAGAAGGTGAGATTGCATCTGGAAAGGTGTTACATCACCTGTTCAATTGTGTGAGTAGGATTTCATTAGGTTGCTTATCTATTCACACTTCAGTTGTGTACTTTTGGTTTTGGGTTTTTTTTTTAGCTACTTCAGGCGTGTACTTTTTTGGTAGTCAACAAACATATTACACTATACATATTTCTTCCTGTTTTATCGCTCCCCCTAATGTATTTACATTGCATTCACGATAGCTGATGAGCCTAAATTTGTACCTTATACATAAAGGAAAATGAAAGTAATAAAGCTGGGGGAACATGTTTAGAGTAAACATTTAATTTAGATGCCCTAACCTCCTCATACCATCCATTCATACTGTTGTGTCCTTCTGTGGATGACGTCTCATTAACACCCCTTGTTTTTGAACTGCAGATGGTGCTGAAATCCTGAGTTGCACAGTAAAGGCCCTGAAAGAGGGTCACATTGTTGCGGTGCCCACAGATACCATCTACGGCCTGGCATGTCTGGCCCAAAACTCAGACGCCGTCAGAAAAACGTATGACACTAAAGGACGAAACGGACAGAAGCCGCTGGCCATCTGTGTAGGGGAAATTCAGGATATCTATAAGTAAGTGTGCTTTTATTTCACTTTGATCAGGGCACATGTTGTGTAATTGCTTCATTCTAAGTGCAGTCCTCCTCTAAGCCATCTATTTTGCACAAACATATTACTCATTTCCTGAAGAGTCACACATGCATGAGGCACAGATACCATCTCCACTCAAATAACACATTTTACATTTTGAGTGACAGGCACACCTGCTGTCAAAGGACACCTCGGTAATTATTATTCGCAACTTTATTCTGTGACTGTATTTTCTATCGCTGTGCAGGCATGTCGCATTTCTTTGAGATTTGTTAAAGCTTTGTGGGATTTAAAGTGAAACAAATTAAATCAGAGAATAGTGGATATTCCCAAAAACTATTCTGGCCTGAAAAACAATTATTTTATTATCAGATAGTTATTTTGGCTATCAGTCATTTGCTTCATTAAAATTCAGAACATGATGAAATGGCCCAAAGCAATTTTTCCACAATGCAAATTGGTGTCGTGACATCATGAGTTCAAAACTTCATTGCAAAAGACAAAACAGGATCAGAGCAGAGAATCAAATAAAACACAGCTGCTTTTTTTTGCAGTGATGCAGTCATTAATGGTCATTTATGTTGTTTTCCTTATAGTTTTGGGAGCTAGATTACACACAAGTATGGTAATGTGATGTCATGTGCAGGTACTGCAAGGTGAAGGTGAAAAAAGAGCTGTTAGGTGACCTGCTCCCTGGTCCTGTCACCCTGGTGTTTGAAAGGTCTGAAGAACTGAACACAGACCTGAACCCCTTTACCTCAGTGAGTTTGCTTCTTTTTCATTGAATAGTGCTGACAATAAATTGTTTGATCATAAGTGTGAATTGTTGTTTACACATCCATGTCTTCCTCAGCTTGTAGGTGTACGTATCCCAGATCATCCCTTTATGAGGCAACTTTGTCAGATGTGTGGGGAACCACTGGCACTCACAAGTGCCAACATCAGCTCACATACCAGCACAGTGGAAGTACATGTAAGTACTAAAGTAAATGATGTTTTTGTTTCTTTCAGTTTCAAGTACGTTAACCTCCTAAGACCCGAACTCTTTCATGGCATGCATTTTTAATGTCTCTTTGCTATTTGAACTGATTAGGATCTGATGAGTGTAAAAACAAAGAATTATGTTTTGTTTTTGTTTGTTTTTGTTTCTGAGAAAAATGAGATCCACATATGAGGACATTCGCTTTAAATTTCGATAGAGCAGTGGCAGTATAATGTCCTCGTAAGTGGATATCAGGCCCTTGTAGAGCAAAATTTTGTATTTTACATATTTCTTAAATGTGATGTCAGCGTATGTGGACGCCAGGTCCTAGGAGGTTAAATTTCAAGTACACCTACCAGACAGACACAGTTGCCCCAGATTTGCCACCTGCACATCCACGATCCCAATCTCTTTTTCCACCACATTATTAAGGTGCTCTATTGCATTGAAATCTGGTAACTGTGGGCTCCATTTGAGTGAAGTGAATTCACTGTGATGAAAAAATCACTTCACTTCATTCATCTTTCTTCCCCATTATGATACTCTGTTTGAACTTCAGCAGGTTGTCTTTACATGTGTAAATCATTGACTTGGTGCCATGTGATTGGCTGATTAATTATTTGTATTTTTGAGCAGTTGAACAGGCGCACTTAACATAGCGGTCAGTGAGTGTATGTAGCTCTGAATATTGCTGGGTTTATCCTCTTAAGGAGTTCCAGGAGCTCTGGCCCAAACTAGCTGTGGTTGTTGATGGTGGACCGATAGGAGACCAGAGCCGCCTCGGATCAACAGTAGTCGACCTGTCAGTACTCGGCAAATACAGCATCATCAGACCAGGGTGGTAAGTTCATCCAGACGCTTTTTCCAATAGTTTCTCTCCAAGTGAGATAAAACTATCTGATGTAACTGAATGTTTAAGCATATCATTTAAACTCCTTCAGAGAACTTCAGGCACATTTTACAACTGACAAAAAAATTGACTGGAAAAAAAACATTTTCAAACCAGAACTGAGCAAAAGTAAACTGACTGAGTCTGATGTATTAAAATATCCAAAGTAAGCAGTCATACGTTGCTCAAGTCACCTGAATTAGAACTGGAAGTTATTCATATAGCACCAGTTTATTCCATGACTTGAAGAAGGGGAATGCATCCGCACTGACTCACTGTTGCTTTGAAATACCCAGGTGTTTCCAGCCTCTCCCAGTGTTACAGCACCAGCTATAGTATGAATCTCCTAAAACAAAACTTAAATATTGAAATACCCACCACAAAAAATAAGGAGGCATTTTGCAAGAACAAGTCTTAGTTTCATTAAAAAACCATATTTGGAGTCAGTCTGTCGCATCGTGTTAACACTCTTCTTTCTCACTCTGACCCTTACACCCCCTCTGCCCCCAAACCACCCATGTTTCCTCTGAAGTAGACTTGGTACATTAAACAAGAAATGACTTTAATTTTGATTTCAGTGCCCTTTCTTCTACGGTTGATGTGCTCGAGCGCAAATATGGACTGTCAGAGCTCTCTGGGGAAGAATGACCTTTGAACTCTCCACACTCCAAAAATCACGCACAACCAGCTCTGACCCGGGGCTACTTGGGAGAAGATGAATCCATGAATCAGCCTTTGCCGGGGAAGACTGTATCTCAGGAGGACTGAAACTGCTGATGGACGATTTTGTTCCAGTGGCAGCTTCAAAGTCTTGGGTATCTTTCCTTATGTCTTAGATTAGCATATTTTGTATATGTTTCTGTCATTACATTATTTGGGAGTTTAAGCTTTAAACTATCATTTATACAGAAATAGGTCAGCTGTATAGTACTTTAAGTAATGTGGTCATGGGAGAAAGAATGGTTTGAGCCAGCCTTTTCGCAACACGATCAGAACTGTAGTGAACACATTTTAATGGTCTGATTGAATCTGTGTGATATAATAAATCAACTTTATTTAAGAGGGCTGTAAACTGTTGTTTGTTTGTTTGTTTGTTTGTTTGTTTGTTTTTTAATCTTTTTTTTTTTTTTTTTTGGTTTGTTTTTTAATAATTTTTTTTCTGGCAGCGTGAAGATTGCACTTCAATTGTTAGCATCAACACTTGCAGTAAATCCTGTTTTACAGTGTAGACTACTAATACTGGCACATTTGGGTTGTTTCGGTTGGCACATGGATATAATTTGTAGAATTCCTCTCATTTGAATGTTAATAATTGGAGTACATGATTAAATCTTCAGTGTCTGATTGGACCTTGATTAACAGATGGTACAACATTGGCAAATCCACAATAAAATTACATATTTTTTTCCCAGTCTCACAGTTTTCTCCATGCACAAGAAGCTATCTGAGATTTATTTCTGTCTTTATCCACTGGTGTCTGGATTTTCACTCAAAACAGCTTCTTAATGGAGGGTGAAATCAATAGAGCAATGTTAAGTGTTTAAAAAGGAGCAGAAACCACTTACTGGCAACCTGGACAGGGAAATCAACTTCGGATCATTCAGAGAACGCACTTTTATTCTCAAAAACGCCTGTCTCTGCGAAACCTTTCATTTTAAAAGCTATCAGAATCTTAATCAAGTCTATACAGAGTGTGCCCCAGTCAGTGGGCAGGTTTATATTCATTAATGCGTTCAATCACTTTGAGCCATAGACTTTCATGTCCTGACTTCTTGCTTCAGTGGAGAAAAAAAAGCAGAGTCCCATATGCTTACAGTGAAGTCTTTTCATATAGGAATTACTCAATCTCCAATTGTACTTGGGTAGATATCGGGTCTGTGGTGTAGTACTTGACACGTTATATGGGAAAGATCCCCAGCTTGAGACAAAGAGGAGACACAATCCCAGCCTCGGGGACTCACAAGCTTGTGCTGATGAATGGGAGGGTTGTGTCAATAGTACCTAGAGTAAAATCTGTGTCAGAGGCCTCAGGAAATAAAGGAGCGGTTGAAATTACCCAATTTTATTTGGGTAGATCAGAAATGAGTATTCTTGGTAAGTTAGTTTGTTGGTGAAGGATGGCAAGAGTAAAAGAGTTTATGAGATGGTAGTGAGACCTGTTGTGATATATGGTTTAGAGACAGCGGCAATAACGAAAGGGCAAGTTGTCACGCTGGAGGTGGAGTAAAAGATGTTAAGATTTTACTGGCAGAATGGACAGGATCGGAAATGAGGATATCAGGGTGACTCTCAGTTTGGAGGCAAGGTTAGAGAGGCGATGGTGGATGTGCTGGACGAAGGATGCTGAAGATTGATGCTTTCAGGCAGGAGGACGTGCAGATGGTTGGCGTGACAGAGGAAGATGTTAGAGATCGAGTGAAATGGATGCAGGGGATCTGCTGTGAGAAACTGTCATGTTCTGTGTTTTTACAAGTTGAGCTAACATGCTATAATGTTCCAAATTTACCTTTACAAATTATGATGTTGTGTGACAGTGACAAGTTGTAAAACACCACATCATCCCCATTTTAAAAAGCTCTCTGAACCTGGGTAAAGGGTCAAATTGTATGTTATGGATAAATGAAAACTACAGTGTCTTCAGTTCTATTATTTCACCATATAAAGGGGCATGAGATGGTGGCTTACTGTATTTAGAAATACAATAAATTATCGGGCAGACATTTCAACGTACCAATTGTGTGGGGGAGATTAGAGACAGACCCACAGAGCATTTTACAAGTCTGGGTTTTTGATACGCTTTGTATCCTATCTTTGAATTTGCACACACATCTATAGGACCTCTCGCATCCAGCATGTTTAAAAAAGGTAACAGCATGTCCTTCTGCACTCAAAACTATATCAATCAATCGCTCTCTTGCCTCCTCTTTCATGTGTGCACACACTTCCACTACAGCGTGCCGTTTCAAGTCAGTTTGATGAAAGCTCACATGAGCCACTGCTCCTTTTCTTTATTGAACTGCTCGGCCCAGCGGCGGGTCAGCTCCAGGTAGTGATCAGGCCCATGTGGCTGATAGTCCAAGTAAACCCGTGTCACAGTTTTTTTAGGCACAGCCCTTTCTATCTGCGTCCCCTCGTGCCATTCATTAAAAGATGTTATGGTGACAATCTCTGGGCGCACGTTGAGTGCCGCCTGCAGGGCTGTCTCGTAGTAACGTCCGTTCACCCTGTTGCGTGTGTTGTGGTTGTTCCATGGCCGAATGCTGGTGTCAATGTAACCAGGCCCCACGCTGGGGATAAAAAGGAGGTTGTTCCCATCGCAGAAAGCTTTGATGGCTTTCCAGTTCTGGTGAGAAGAGCCAAAGGAGAAGCCGTTGGAGGCAAAGTAAGTGTACATGCCATCGAAGCCGCCTGCCAGGATGTCGTGCTTATGACGCTCCTCCACAATCAGGGCTATAAAGACGGAGTCGTAAGCTGACCCACGCACGCTGTGGGAGCCAGTCGGTGTCAAAAACTCAGACCAGGACTCGGGTGGAGTTAGGTAGGAGTCATAAATGTAAAACAGAGGAAGACTCTTCCCTGTGCTGGTAGTGAACTTGTAGAACGCTCCGTGGTCGCCATACCTTAAAAAGAATATAATACAGAACATTTAACAACACAACAATAAACCCTACCACTGAGACAAAGAATAAAATATTGTATACCATTTCTTACTTAAACTGAATATCTTTTCAAGGTTTGGGACTTCTGAGTAAATCTCTGAAAGGTCCTCTTTTTCAGAGCAACCCCACATGTTAAAGTTAAAAGTTAAAATGGCTTTTGCTTGAAGAACTCATCCATAAGTCATGAAACTGGCTTTATATAAGCTGAAATGCACCCTAAAAGTATTTCAGTGTCGTAACTGCTGTTTTTCTTGCTATGCATGCAATCTTAATAGCTTTCTATTTGAGTTGACTCAGCGATGAAGCACAGCCAGACATGCACCCACCTGTCAATGATGTACTTGATGTTGTCATGCACACTCTGATCGTTTCGTCCTCTGTATGGTTGGATGTGGAATGCAACCTGGGAGATGATAAAGCAATATGCATGTTCATTTTCATTCATTATATAACTACATTATTAATTTATGTATCATTCAAGGTCAGCATTTACAGATGACCTCGAGAAGTATTGACTAAAAGTCAGGCGTTCCCAGGGGGAGATTCCTCATAGAAAGTTGACAAGAGTGACAGTAACTTCTCCTGGCTTGTAATCAATCAAAGTCTGACATGTTTCTAAGACAAAAATAATTCAATAAGGCCTCAGTCACACAAGAGGAAAAATAGGACCACAACCTCCATGCAACCAGGGAAAGGTGGTTGGCGAATGATTGGATTGATTTTTTTTTTTTTTTTGCTATCTAGTTCAAAGTAGTTGGAGAGACGAACCATTAAGTGTTTTCAGAGAGAAACATGCATAAAACCTGAACTTACACTGTATTATTGTGTTACTTGCTTCTTATTTTTCCATCCATCCATCCATGAATCCATTCATTCTCTTATCTTCATCAGGGTATGATAATCTGATGATCTTGGTAAAATGCTTGTTGTTATTGAAAAGAACTAGCGGTGCCAGTTTGCTTATAACTGTATAAGCAATACATTTTCCACATTTCAGTCTGACCCAGTCTGTGGCTGACAGTGTTGCATTTAATGCATGGATTCCATGTCTGGTTCCAGTACACCACTACAGGTCAAGTGTGGATAGCAACATATTTGCAGCAGACAAAAGATTTGAGCTTTATCATCATTAATCACATTATTATCTCAATGAGATTGTTGCTGTTTTATCCCTGTTTTATCACTGTTTTGATGCACCAACATGGGTTTGAAGATGGTGACTGAGCGGTCTCAGACCTGGTCCCTATCTTTGAAGTAACCATATTAAAAACAAAGAGATCACAATTTGATTGGGCACGGATGCAACAATGTTGGTCACACCGCAATTACCAACCCCTGTTTTTGTAGTCAGATGGTATCACAGCTCATCAGACCTCTGAGCCCCTTTTCAGGAAAATGAGTCTCACGGTTATAATTCAGCAAAACATGTTAGTCATGCACCATTTTGACCTTGTGCAGCCCCAAAGCAATGCGTGGCATCAGGAGTCTGGTGCCTTTACCCTTGTACCTTATTACAGACTCACTGCAGTTTTCTAAAAACCCTTTAATAAGGCTATAACACTAAGAAGGCTCACCAACACAAATGTTACCCACTTACACGGACATCAAAGCACCATGTTTCCTCACTGCTCCGTGTTCACGACAAAATCTGCTACACTATAATTGTTTTTCAGCCTGAGTGGTCTGCCTCTGGAGACTATTGTAACACTCACAGTTAATGCGTCTGTTAGAAATGGCCGTTTACAGTTCATGAACAAACGCAGCAGAGGAACAAGGGATATGAAGTGACATGTACACAAAAAGTGCTTAAGTTGAATATTTTAAGGTGCACCTGGAGAATTCAGTGACTTTGAATAATGCATGATCAAAGAGAAACACCACTTTTCCAGCACTGGACACTTGAGAGGAACAATGTGAAAGGAAAATGTCCTTTTTGAGATGATGGAAGCATCTAAAGGGATGTAGGCTGCCATTGAGTAAGCTAAACAAAGATGCCTTAGCCCACTTTACATGATCCAAGTCTTATCTTTGTTAAAAATCCAATGCTTGCAAAGCTCCACTAAAATATAGAATGGCATTTCACCTACTTGTTATTGGAAATAGATGTATTTTGTAGTTTTTCTGTAAGATCCATATTGTCGTTATGGAGTTAAGTGTAGCGTATTAACGAATTAATGGATATGTGTTCTGGACGGTCGGGATGGATCCAAATAACTGGATCACTTCTGCTACTAATAATGATACTAAGTGCTTTTATGTACAAAAAAATGTCAATTTTAACAGTGTAAGAGGCACTTTGTTTTGCAAAAGAGTAATTTGAAAAGAGATTGAGGAAGGAAGGTCTTGGGCATATGAGTAAATCATATTCTAAAATCAATATTTATGAAGCTAACTCTCTGGCAGTAACAGTGAGAGAAAATGACGGAGACAATAAGATAGTACAGTAAGATAAAGCCACAAAAAAATCTATGAGATATTACAGCTCGTGAAGCTGCATGATTATAACATGATTATAACAGAGGAAAATAGATACTACATCAGAGTGCAGGCTACTAGAAAACTCATTTTCCCCAACGCGCTGGCTGATTACATTTTTGGTAATTTAGAAGTAAATGAGACATAGTCAACGCATTTTAATACCTCATAAACATTGACAGTGCAGTCTGGAACAGCCCCGGTGTGATTTGTGCTGAGCAGAGTGAATTTAGTGGCATGTCATGCAGAAAGCGCAAAGGGAAGGATATGCACCAACACAAAAATATAGATTCAGACCTTTTCTGACAGTTAGATCAATTTAATATCACTTTCATTCTACAGTGAATGAAGTCGGTGGATATACACCGAGGTTGTACAGGTTTCATGTACGAAAAAATGTAGCTACTGAGTGCATCGGGAAATAAGGAAGTGTGGCTGATGCCATCATAGGGCACCCATGGGCCATATTCCCCTGTGTAGCTTCATGGCCTACTTAGGAGATAGAACTTTTGCACCCCCTCAGGGTGCAGATTGTTCACAGGCTCAAACTGAGTCATGGGACCCATGATGCACATATCGCCTCTGCTCTTTTTCTCCTACCTCCAGTTTCCAATAACCCCCCTACCCTGTCCCCACCAAGCCGCCCCCACCCTGCCCTGGGCAAAGGGACTATTTCAGCTCCACTTCGAGCTGAGGTCAAGCAGCAGCACTGCTGTGGAGGCTCATGTGATGTGCTCTCCAACATGAGCCGTGTGTGGGTGTTACTGAGATGCTATTCAACTTATATAATAAAAAGTACATTGCTTTCTTTTGCAGCATTACCCGAAGAGGGGTCAGTGTGTTTTTAGCAATGTGGCGTGGGATCGCTACCAGGATGGAAGCTGGATTTGTTTTTAGTGAGCTTGCTCGTCTCCAGTTTCCATTCACCTTCAGTCTAACTTGTACATGTTCAATTAGGTCAAAAGCTGTATGCAATTCACTGTATTCCTCTTATCTAAACCTCCATCTATCACTTTGGGTTCATATAAATGCGTTGTCAGCTCAGCATTACATCCTGCTGTCATGGAGACAGATCATGTCACTGGTCATTTGTAGCATTTTCCTTGTTTTTTTATTTTTATTGATAATTTTACTGAATGTTTAAATGTCTGAATGCAAACACTTCTTTGATTAAAAAAAGCATGTTTTTTCCAATAATTTCTTAATTTTAAAATGTATGTGTCATATTATTTTTCAGGCAAAAATGGTTCCAGCTTCTCTGATTTTACATTTTCTTTTTTGTTTATTCTTTGCTATTGAATACTTAAAGGTTATGAGTAAGTGTCCCCTAATGGGTTAGTCTGTCCATGAAAATCTTGGAAAGTTAATTTCATATTCATCAGTTACGAGTGCCAGACTCCTCCTCAGTTTGGAGGATTGCTGCTGCAACATGCAAGACAGCTCAGGTCAAGAAAGGACAAAGCTGGAAACCAAGGTACGCATCATAAATACTGATAGCTCATTACTCCTGGAGGTTCCTCCCTTTGTGATATTTTTTTTGTCTTTTTTTATGAATGTATTTTTCTGATATCATACAGTAGACTATCCAAGGTGGTGAGGACTCAAAACAAAACTGCTAATTCGCTCATGCATTTCTCAGATAAGCAAGCAGCCACTTTATGTGAGCTTCTTGAATCCTGATCTGATACATTTTTGGCTGCTGCCACTGCCCTCTGTGGGACCATCCATCCTCCTCACTTGGGCTTCCCTCCCACCTTTTGTCCCGCCTTTCAGTGGAAAAGAGCACAGAAATGATTTAAGGTTGTTTTTCATCAGAGTTCCAAATTATCAGAGCCAAAGTTCTTTACCTTGTCAGCATTTTGCTAAACATTATGCAAGAGGATGCAATCCAAAGATAAATGTAGCTCTGTGCAGACATAACAGTTCAAGAAAAACAAAGAGAATTGGAAGAGGATGCTTGGAAAGACTCCACTCAACTCTGAATAATTTCATTCCAGTGCTTTCTGGAGACTGCTCTGATTGTGACCTTCTGCGCGTTTTCATTAAACACAAGGATAAGCAGCTCGTTCTTATTTCAGTAAGATACTCCAATATGCAGTTTGAAGAAAACGTGTCACAATCTGTTTTTCCTCACGTGCTTTTATGAAAATGCCATGCTTGCTGGGTGGATGATGACAATAAAGCGTGGCATTAAATTCTGTCTATTAGCTTCTCTACTGACAGCATTATGTGTAAAACCTCATCAACTCAGCCATGCATGTCTAATCCCTGCATTCTTGTCTTGCCCTTGTAGAGATGCATTATTTCGTTGCCTTCAACCAAACAGAAAAAACTCCCCAGTATGATATTAAATCTGACAGGCTAGCCCGACAACTCTTCTGCCTCTCATCGGAGTTGTTTATCGTGAGAATGAGGCCAGTTTGTGGCCGCATCTCTGCTGAAATCAAATTATGTTATCTGCACAACAGAATACAAACACCAGCATGATAATGACTTGTGTTGCAATACTGATTTGTAATTAACCTCGGTGATAACTTTTGCAAATTGTAAATACAACTTGTGAATAATGATTTTTGGTCTTGTGCATTAAAAGGTAAATATACTTCAAGAGGCTCACGGAAATATTATTACGTGTGTACATATTTGTCATTTTTAAACTATAAAATTTTTCAATTATAAAAATATTCGATTATAAATTACATATATTAAAAAAAGAGCAACAAAATGTCATATTTAGAGGCTGATATTAGAAAATGTTCGGTAATTATTAAGATGATTAAATTAATGAATTAGATGTACAAATGCAGTGGTGTATTATTAATGGCACCTGCTTTAACATGGGAAAAGTCCTCAGATCTTGGCCCTTAAGTCATTTTTATTCTTCACATTAGAGCATACAGACCTGAGAACTTTCTTAATTTATTTCTAGTTCCTTGTTCCGATCCACAGTGCTGCTGAAAATCCCGTACTGCTAGCACCTCACTCTTGTTCCCCTTCATTGTCTTTCTTCGCCCAATCCCTCCATTCGTATTTGGTAAGCATCTGACACGAATCATATCTGATTACAAGCAAACACTGGCTTTAATAAGCCTTCAATACAGTGCAGCAGGGGCACCAACACAGACTCAGCTATGTCCGCTGTCATTTTCCAACCTAATTGGCAATTGGTCATGTGGTTTTACCCACATTCTGCACCGCCTCCCACGGCTCTCCACCCCACTAATGTGTTCAAGAGTTCATTCAACAACTAATCCAGCGGCAACAGCAGCAGCTCTTTGACACATTTTATGCTTTAATGCTAGAGACGAAGTCACTGCAGCCGCAAGTATTCCGAGTCAAATCCTGAGTAGCAGTGAGCAGCTTTACAGGATGCAGCACAGCAAGTTGAGAAGGCCTTAGCACCCACAAATTCCACATATAACACTGGTTCGAGATTACTATCCTATGCAGTGTTAAGCTCTTCATATGCCTCCGTGAAAGACTAGTAATCCTTCTTTTGGTCCCGTGTCACTGAGGTTTTAGAAAGGGTAGTGGACAGAAATTCCAATTTTTTTCACATTTGAGCCTCAACTTTGGCTCTTGCAACAGTTCAAAATAAAAATAGCAAAATAAACAATAGCTGAGTTACTTTAGGTCTGTTTTGCTCATAGAAATCATCAATTGTAAAGACTTCTCTTTTGAACCCACAAAAGCCAACACAATGAGCCACTATGAAAGACTGTAAGCAAGCCTGCACATATTAATGACTGTCTACGTAGCACTTAATGTCATGTAGATAATTTTGGGTGTTTAATCCATACTGCAGAGTGAAACTCCACAGACACAATTCAATATGGCTCATTGTTCTCAGTGGAGTACTTCAGGGATCTGAGTTTGGTCCTCTTATGCAAATAATTCAAGTGTAGCGCATTCAGAACTAATACAAATGTGATAAAGTGTTGTGTAATTATGGACATATTCTGCCATATACACTTTGCAACCATCAGCTCAACTATTTCTAAGTGTAAATGACAGATATGAGGAATTCTTAAGATACTTTGGACACTGTTACAGCTGTTAGGAATTAGGAGAAGCCTAGCTGCTTCCATCTGGCCTAGATTCTATATCGTGGTGATTTGCTGTACATTAATCCATCAGCACAGTATCCATGCGTGTTGGGCAGTAGCTACTGTTGTGTAGTAGTACTAAATTGACACTATGCTTTCCTTTTGAGAGGCAGTATAGCCATATATATATTTTCTTTTTGTTATAGTCTTTATCTAAACACAAATCTCTAGAGATGCATCTCCTGTATTTCTTAAAGGACATGCAGAATAGCTGCTGAGTGACAGAAATGACAGAGTCACTGGTTTGTTTTCCAGGAAGTTATAGTCCTAAAGTTAAAATGAATTTCACAAAATCTAATTTCTCTAACAGAGTTCAAAGCTACTGTAAACTCTGTTGTATTTCTATATGATCTGAGCTTACTTTAGTTATACTTTGGCAGTATTGTTATATAGTGTGCTATCTGATTTCCTTTTTATTGGTCTGTCTTTTAGAGTTTCAATGAAGGTCAATGAAGAGGAAAGAGAAAAAAAGTTAATGTTTAAAATAGATGATTCATCTAAGAAACATCTCTCTCTCACACACACACGCACACACACGCACACATGCACACACACACACACACACACACGTAAAATGTGCTGACACTGCTTACCTTGAGGTTGTGTCTATATGCTGCATCCAGTACAGCTGGTACCAAATCCTCAGCAGGTTCCCCATTGTCATCAGCTACTTCAGGAGGATACCAGGACAGGACCAGAACACCTGGAGGGAGATAAGCACTTGATCAAAGATACGAATTAACACCTCAGAGCACCATCACCTTCTGATGGGAACATACAAACAAAATGTATATGAAGCTCTAACAATATTATTGTATGGATTGCTGAAATGATGCATCGATTTCAAGCTAACTGTGTTTATGTGCAGTTATTGTTGTCTTGGAGTAATGTTGCTTTCTCTGCGATCATCCTTTAGTGTCTCTTTGTGGTTCACAGCAATACAGTACATCTGCTGATCTATGGAGGACAGTCAATTTTTTAAATGAATATGTACTTGTCATCTTAGGACTATTTATTATGCCTTGTTTTAGTGGCAACAGTTTGAGTGTGTGACAGCTCATAAATTCATAAACTCACGCTGGCTGAAAAATGGTTTTCTATCAGCCACAGCGGTGCCTGGCAAGAGGTAGGAACTGGCACACTGTATATGCACTCACAACTAATTTATTAAACTCATGTCCAATTGCTGTGGAGCTGTGGAGACTATTAGATTACAATAGCCAAACATGTCTTTGTGTATCAAGAAGACGGCTACTGCTATTCATTTCAGTGGCAGGAAATCAGTCACCAAGTCAAGCAGATCTATTTACAGTTGAGTATGAGGTCTCTCATTAAATGGAAGGTTTTAATTAAGCAACTTTGAGCTGGACCTCCCATGATTCCCAGGTTTCAGGGTTAGATGACCTTCTCATCACTCAAGCCGGTGTACAGTAACCTACTGCACCGCAGGACAGACACATCAGGGCCTATCATGTGTTGGCTGCTGATGGCTGACACACTGCGCTGTTACTTGACACCAGGGAACAAACTTGTACTGAATTTAAGGGAGCCATACAAGTCTTTGATGAGACTGCAACACAACTATTATCAGTTCATGACATTTAAAAGAGATAAAGGTACTTGCAGAGATACTTTGGGGCTTGGTGATGCTTTAATACTAAAGTAGTATAAGGTTCAGTTTTAATATAGATAGCTAAACATCTTTAAAAACATTAGTTTGCTTCTGATGTACACCTCAATGAAGGATGAAAGCGCAGCAGCAGATATATGGGAACCAAGCATGTGGGGAGCTGTCCAGTATATGTGTGGTGCTGAAAAATGTGTCGAGCCCCTTCAGCTAAAGGGAGGCAGCTTTGTGCTTACAGAAGCCACATTTCTGTAAAGCTGCTGTGCACAAATAACAACACTCAGCTCTTTTTTGTGCGTCTCTCTAAGAATTTCAGGGTGCCGGTTTGCATTTTTTACAGTACCTGCTGCGGATGCTCCGATCTGCTCCATGTGGGACTCCAACACATCCGGATCCCGCGAGCTGTACGAATTGAGTTCGGGGTAGAAACTGGAGCCGATATCCTCGGGCGGCATGTGTTTCCCTCTCGGGTAGCTGGATGCGATCTTAGGGTCCCAGTGCGGGACTAGGATGTGATCCCAGTGAATGTATTTACCGTCCATATGTAGGTTGCCGTACCACATATAGTAGAAAATATGAACATCATAAAATATGGTCCCCTCGGGGCCGGTGTTAGACAACACGGCTTTGGCGTTGCTGCCAGGCGGACGGGCTTGACCCGGGGAAGCGGTCCCATCACGGGACACTGAGCGCCGGTCCATCTTTCCTCCGATCATCGGCAGGAGCTCCAAGCCCGGAGCCAAGTCCGAGAAACCGTCACTGGGCTTCAGGGTCCTCAGTCCCATCATGGTCCCAAAGATGAACAGCGTGAAAAGAAACAGAGCTATGCACGCTTTCCTCCTCAGTCGTGCCATGGTTGGCTAGAGTGGCAGGAGCTGCATACGGCACGGACGGAACCAAGAGCGCAAATTAAACCTGCGTCCTGCTTCTGCGGCCAGATGGAGTTCACCACAAACTACGAACTACTCTCCGAAGTGTTTCTCGTCGCATCAGCTAAAAGACGAGTCTACATGATTGCACTCAAACCAGGGAGGACTACCCTACGTAGTTGATTAAGGAATTTTTAACTTTCTTCTGTTCCGCATTTCGATGAGCTGCGGATTTTTTTTTTTTATCACTGCAACGCGGATCTATACCTCTAAGATAAGCCCGAGCTACAATTTTTTTGTTTTAAATGCCACAGGCCAGTTATTCCTAACTTAAGACTCTCCTCTCATATTTCTTTTCCACGCTGTCACTCACTAAGACGCTTCACCGCTCCCGTGGACCGCCCCCGCCCATCAGCTGCTCCATCCACCTGACTTCCGACAAAAAACGGTGTCTAAACGCAGGGGTGATGCTCTCTGTTGGTCATGCCCGGAGAGGCTTTAAAGCCTCCGTGCTTGGTTGGCTGGTGTTTCCTTATGGATGCCAAAGAGGCGGGACCCTTCTCGTTCACCGTTTCTAAAGTTTACTCAAAAAGAAAAGACTAAAAAGCAACATGGTTATACCCGTTATGTAGCCTACTGTTCTTATCAACAGGTCTGAGGCCACAAGACTATGACTCATCTCTTAAAGGTGACATTAACTACTATTTTCTCATAAAGTTGTTTTCACAGTTAAACCTAAGGTAGGTTATTAGATTTTTATTTATTTTAGTCGGCACTTTGTACTGAGACTTATACTGACATCTAGCGGTCATTTTATAGAACACTTTGTGTTGTGCTAAAAAGTGATTTCTTATGTTTGTTTGTTGTTGTTGTTATATCGAATACCTTTATTTATATTGACAAATAGACTGTCGTAAATAGGATTTATGAAGGACTGATCTCTCAAGAAAAAGACATCTGTAATTCCAGTGAGATTAGTCTTTCACTCTTTCTTTATTTTCTTTTTACAGGATAAATAAAGGATAAAACAGTCAAAAAGATTCATGGCTTTTACCTTGTGATAGGAATGTTCTTCCTACCTCAAAAAGACTTGCTATCATTCACGAGAGATATGTTGGACTTTCTTTTTTTTGGACAAATTATAGACTAACACGTTGTTAATAACAGTTTGAATTCCCGCAGTCATTTTCTGGCAAATACCGGAAATCCGTTTTTGGCAGACGAGAAATAGCAAAAAAGTATGTTTTGATGTGCTTGTAAAAGACGGATAGGGAACTCATTACATAAATGTGGCTTGTTTTCCATTTTTTAAATTAATAATGTAAGTAGTATAACAGTATTAGCTGTTGTTGTTGTTGTGTAGAGCTTCTTTTTTTTGGGGGGGGGGGGGGGGGGGATTGTAAATAAACCTTGTCGCAAATATAATAAAGCGCCTCCTGTCGTCAGAACAAGGTATCTTTGCGCTCTGTTAGGCTTTTGGCATTCAGCTATATTGTCCAAAAGCAGTGTCTTTCGGTCATGCTATTAGGCAGCACTTACGGCTCTCTCACCCCACTATTGGAAGTTCTGACGTCCTGACACTTTATTAGATTGTTTTCTTTGCACAAGAACTCCAACATGAAGTGGCAATAAAAATATTCACGGCCTCTGTGATCATTAGCCAAACCTCTGTAAAGATAAATGTAGTCAGTTAGTGAACTAGTTAGTAAATTATGCAAAAACATACAACTCGTGCCTTCGACTTATACCACTAAAAACACATTTTTCAAACGAAATTACAAAACTAAAAGTAAAAACTAAAATAAATACTAAAATACTGTTGATTTAAAAAAAAGAAATAAAAAGAAAGAAAATAAACGTAACCACTGATTAATAATTTTCTTCTCTTTCTTTCTTTGAGCATGAAGTGCAGCTTCCATATTAAATTAAAATATATTATCCTGGGGCCACAAACACGCGTTTTGTGGGTCCACAAGAGGTCGTTGTGGTAATTGTGATAAACTGGGAGCCACAGCCTCCTCTCAGTCATCAATCACATATTTCCATTTCAACAAATAAGTAAGTAAAATACAACAGAAAACGGGTATATTCAATATTATTTAGTATTACCAATTTAGGCCAAATCAGTGACAGTAATAAATCGTTGTTATTTAGCAAACACACAAATAAATTAGCAAATGCAAAACCCTATCTTTTATATTTGTTGGTGTAGCATAAAGCAAACGAATTACAATTTCAAATACATCCATGTGTCCGTGTTTTATAGACAACAGTATAATACATGTAAACGAACTTTGCGTATTTTTTCCCTTTTCTGCAATCTTATCTGTCATTTCCAAAACCTTTATAAATGTAACAACACATAAACATCACCAGTAATACGTTAATAGCACCTTTTCAATCTTTTTTATTTTATTTTGTTTTTTTAATTTAGGCTGAGATAAATTTGCTTATCCCCCCTCCTGTCTTTAAAGCATCACTCATTTCACAAGGACGCAATTCAACAACACACTTAACGTGATGTGATCGATCACTATTGAGCCATGATTTCGTTTTATTTTCGTGAGGTCGCCTTCTTTTTTTCTTTCTTTTTTGCATAAACTGCTTTGCATGCTTTTGTTAAATCCGAGTTGTTGTTGTTCTCTCTCTCTCCCGTTTTCTTCTTCACGCCTTCATCTTGCTTGTTTGACTCCTTTGAGCTCTTCCTCCTCTGCTGCATGTGGAAAAAAACCGTCCCCCACTCACAATTTCATCTGGATTACCATTAAACCCTCCTAGGAGAGCAGTTACAGGAATCTCTGATTATAAGGAAACCAACACACGTGAGAAGTAATATGACATAGATATAAAATGTAGATATTCAAATCCATTATTATTATTTTTTAAAAGAACATCTCAAACTAATTGCTTCAAGTAGAGTGTTATACACCATTTACTTCTGGCCTTTTCATCTATTACATGCAGCTTCACCTCACTATTTATATTTAAATGAAATGCTTAAAAGCTTCAAGTCTTACACGAAAATGTTTGTTCTAGTATCCGGTTTTATTTAAATAAAAGTTGCATTTTAGGCAGATAAATGCCTCACCCTGCCTATAAAATACATTACAGATAAATTTACAGTAAGTGTAAACTCACTACTAGAACAGATGCTTAGGTTGCAATATAAGGATGTTACACTGGTTACAGAAGTAGTGGTCAATCACAACAACAAAGGTGGTATAAGAATATTATGCGTATTATAGTGATTGGCCACTTCCCATGTTTGGGCTCGTCCATCACGCAATATGCGGTGTATCCCTGGGGACTGTAATTGTGAATCACGTGGACGTGACCGAGTGTTTGGGGGTTTTGTTGGGTGGGAAATGGTCATTTGTATTGACCAACAGAGCTGGCCACTGCAGGAGCGCTAAAAGGCGTCCAGAGAAAGGGGAGAAACGGCAGCAGTGGACACTGAGATTAAACCATAGCTCCCGAACATGGCAGAAGGTATGCTGGCAGGTTTTAGGGAGTTATCTCTGGGAACGGTTAGAGCGCTTTCTGGTGGGGCAGGAATTCGATGTATTGTCTAAGATGTTTTTTTTTTTGTTTAGCGAAGGGGGGTCGGGGTCTTCACAGAAAAAGAAATTTCTCCCGGTGACCCCCCACCCCTCATTGTTTAAGGGGGATAGGTTGCCAGCCCCCTTTTGTTTACCTCCCTCTCACGCTTTCCCTCTCGCTGCGCAGCTTCTGCGTTTCACAGCATTTTGCATGAAAGTGGCAATCTGCGAGGATTACCCAGTTTGAGGGCTTGTACACTGGATACTGTAGCTTGGGTGCTGATTTTGACTCAAGGCAGAACTGAAGACATGGGTTCCGTTTCTAAGAAGCAGCTCCGAGGTTGGGTAACTTGAGCTACATTTTGAGTTACATTTACTAGTTTTTGCAAGTTAATTGAGTCGTTGTACCTGTGGACTGTGTGCTCGATTGCAGCCGAACGTTTTAACGCATTGTTCACACACTTGAACGTTAAAATGTGCAGTCCGTGTGTCTATCAGTGCTTTGCATTGTCTTTAAAATTTTGTGCATCTTACGGGAAGGGAGAATATTTTTGTTTCCTTTTTGCGCTAATGCACCAGTTCGTTGTGCATTCGCTGAAAAAAGTCGCATGTTTATTCCCCTTAAAAAGTTGGCTATAATTTATTTCAAATTTTGCGAGAAATACAGCCTAATCTTGTTCATTGTATTGATTCGTATTGATTATTGATTGGGTAGCCTAGCCTAAAGGAAATTTTGTATTTCCGTTTTTTAAAACCTTTCAATTTCAAAAAAACCTTTTGCGTTTTTAAGCATCGTCACCTTCGCAGGTTTAAAGCTTTTCTGTAGTAATTGCTAAATTGTTTCATCGTAGGAGTGTGTAAAACCGAGGAGGATGAAGGACCGAGTCCCGAGGAGAATTCAGAGTCTTTCCACGGGGTCGGTGTGTGTAAATGGTTCAACGTCCGCATGGGTTTCGGGTTCCTGTCCATGACCAGCCGGGAGGGAGAGCCGCTGGACGAGCCGGTGGATGTGTTCGTCCATCAGGTATGATCTGCTTTTGCTCCGACGTGGTGTTTGTTTATTATGTGAAACGCAGCACTGGTGGTGGCGGTGTGTGGACCAGCTCCTTTGCATCCCAATAAAGATATCTAAAATGTAAAGGTAAAAATATGTTTTCCATCTAAGCAAGTAAAATCTCTCCACACCAGGAGATCAGAGATCAATCTTATCTTCTTCCAGTCTTCACTTTCTGTGCTTTTAGACCTAGTCCCAGCAGCAAAGGATTGTGGGCACAAGTTAAAACATTACAACAAACAAAAACTTAAAGAAAGCGAGGTTAATCAGAAATCCAGTCCTTCAACAGGGCGGGCACTGAAAGACATTTAAAGATAAAAAATTGCTACAACGCCGGAAACGTCTAACTGTTAAATTGATGCTTTTGCTGCGCGGTGGGTGTTTCTCCTTTAGGGGAACACGTGTTGCAGCCAGAGGGGAGCAGCGGGCCTCCCTCGTGGTTTTCAGGACGCTGACACAATGTGATGGAGAGATGAATGTGCGGTTTTTGTTGTTCATTGAAGCCAGCACACTTTTAACAGGCTTACATCCATAAGCCTCCTGAGCTGCATGAAAACTGAGCCATTAAGGAGGAGGAAACGTTTAATTGATCTCCATCTGGAGACGTGAACAATCAGTGTGCATTGTTTTTGTGTGTGGGTGTTTGTTTAGATTTTTTTAACCATTTATTTTCCACCTGCGAACAGAATTCTTTAACACATCATTTGAGCAACCTATTGGGGTGGTATCTAAAAAGGGTTACTGATCCTGATCACTGCTTTTCAGATTAAACACATTTTAAACAGTCAAACTTGAGGTGGCTAAATACAACACAGTCACCTCACACACTTTTCCCCCCCACCTGGTGCTGCTGTTCCTACTTTTAGTTTTAAAGTAGAGCTTGAAGGCTCATTCCAACACTTTTATTCACCTTAAAGTTAAGTGTTTGAGTTTTTGTTTGTGTGTGGGTGTGGGGAGGTCCCTTCTCCTCCTTTTTCATCTCAGTGAGCTTCTCCATTTCTATCTGATAAGATAAAGGTTTCGCATGTGAATGAGAGGCATTCTCACTAGCTGCCCATTCACCTCAAAGTTCTCACCATAAAGTGATTAAAGGCTCTTTGCTGTCTGCTCAACCCCCTCTGTGTGTGTGGCAGAGGTACACTAGATCTGTAAGTCAGTGTAACACACCAATTTAACGAACACCCTGGTAAATTTCTCAAAATTGTTCTCAAAGCATCATGGGAAGATGTGTTCCTACATTGTAACACTTAGTTTTGATCTGCTTTTTGCATCATTTAGACTTGTGCTAAGATTAAATAATGCATAATAAATAAATGCACCTACATAATATACACAGCTATAACACAGGTCTGCCATCCACATTTCATTATAATAAGTTTGCATGTCCTCTCAAGCAGGTCTTGCTCGTTTCTGTCTTCCTGTTGCCTACTGATGATGATGCATATAGAAACATTTAATTGTTCTGTGGAACAGCTCTGATATGTTTTTTGACTATACACAGGAAGCTGGTATTTGATTACTCATATTGCAAACCAAAAACATCAGTTCAGTTGGCAGAAATGTAGATTAGTGCTCCAGCAGTTGCAGGGACTCAAATGAAATTAGAACCAGTGCAGGTGCCATCAGTATAGATTCATACAAACGGTCATATGCTACTTAAAAACATTAAAATCACTGTTCAGAGTTATTGAACTGAATGCTTTTTACAAATGGCCACATGTTTGTCTTTTAGTTTGAGCTTCCATTTGACCATTACTATAATATCACTGGTGTCATTTTAGCCAGTTATTTCTCTTACTGTCTTTTAGAAAACCTGGACACATCAGTGATTAATGTACAGGGGTTATTGCAAAAGAAAAGGCCTCAGTCCTAAAATTAGTGGCCGTGTGTCAAGGAAAATTAACTCCCAGGGTCCTCTGGCCTTTGTGCAGGTGAACAATGGGGCCATGCATTCGAATGAAGCACCCTGTGGCCGTGACCGAGCCCCTGTTTGTCTCAGCGGTAGTCCCTTTATAGTCCCTCACTGCTCTGATGTCTTTCTCTGACTCAGTTGGCTTCCAGTCATCTTCTGTTTACAGGTCCTTCACTTTTAAATGGCCCCATCCTGATTCTGTACCTGCATGTGAGACTAACCTGGTGTGTTGAGGGTCCGTTACTGGGGTAAGGAAGGTCACACGTTGAAGAGGAAATGGTTAACAGTAAGCAGCACAGAGAGGCCTGATGGGACTGGGGCTCTATGGACGTCCACGCAATGCCACTCAATTGTCATGGCTCACCAATCATGTTTCCTCGCTGCTCAGGACGTTGCAGCAGATGCTCAGCTGTGACTCAGTGTTGGAGGATTAGAACACATCACTTTTGTTTGTTTTGTTTCTCACTGATGGGGGTGTTGCTAGTTGGCTCACTTGGACCCCCGCCTGTGTTTGTAACGATTTAAACCTCAGTTTTAACCACTGGTGTGTCCTAATTGTTGTTTAATATAAATCTGCGTTTTGGAGATTAACTACTTGTCTCCTTTTAAATTATAACCTGTCGTGGAATATGATTCCCTGTGGTTTGGGCAAAGAAAGAATGCAGACCGATGGTCGCACGTAATAGATGGATGATAACTCACTCCAAAAAAAAATAAATAAAAGAAAATGGGATTAATGCCTATCAAAACAACCCCATAATTAATGGATCGGTTTTCCTTTGCCAGCAGTCTGTGGTATGAGTGACTATTTAATCATATAATCGCACTACGGGAATTTTAGAGAGGGGTTTCCCATGTTGTGTTAGCCAGTCTATGGGATTTATCCTCAAAACTGCACCACACCTTCCCCTTTCCTTCATCTCTTTCCTTTCTTTGGGAGTCCAAAATGTTTCTATAAGGACACTAGTATCTAGAAGATGATCCTATTCAAAGGTCACCTCAGGTGAAGGCAGTATCAGTTAAAATACAGTGGATAAAATGACTGATTAAGCCAAGAACTCGTAAGATCAAAATCATCATTATATCCAAGTACCGATATGAAAGAGAGCTATCAATCATTTTTGCATTCCCGAAACTTTTATCTTCCACCTCTTTCTGCCAAGCAACTATTCATGGAATGTCACCCTGACCCCCAACCTCACAGAGAAGCTTCACCCCACCCCCAACTCGAACACTAACCCCTGCATCCTGCATTTTAGGGTTAGTGGTGGTGGTCAGTGTGTTAGAAGAGCTTTGTGATGTGGGTGGGAAGAGGGATCAGGGTGGGGGCAGCAGTTTGGAATTTCTTTTAAAGGGGGGGATGGGTTGAAGGTTATCCCCACCAGGTTTACTACTCAGACAACACCAAATAGACAATGCAGCGTTAGGGAAACAGTGCTTTGAATTGCAAATCGGTGTGTGCATACTGCTGAGTAGAGTGGGAACAGCAAGCTTTGGTGCTTGTTTGCTCATCATCAGGTGAGGCCTGGCAATCACCTTAAAATACTAAATGCCTGATAAGCGCAGTTGGCCTCTGATGATATCACACCGTGAGGAATGAGTGGGGGTTGATCTCAAGGGTCAAAGTCTCCACAGGCTCAACGTGGAGGTGATTTGGTGTGATATTAGGAGTTGTAAAACATCCAATTATCACTCTATATATCATACAAGATATCTACATGTGATGGAGAAACACATCATTTATCAATCAGCACTCTCCCATGTTGCAAATGCTTTATACACTTGAATGGCCAGAAAACTCAAATTCATGAAACAGTTACGCTCATGATGGAAAATCTCCCTATGTTCCCTTTTCAGAGTAAGTTGCACATGGAAGGCTTCCGCAGCCTGAAGGAGGGCGAGGCGGTCGAGTTTACCTTCAAAAAGTCATCCAAAGGTCTGGAGTCACAGAGAGTGACCGGACCAGGTGGCATCCACTGCGTGGGCAGTGAGCGGAGACCCAAAGGCAAGAAGGTCCAAAAGCGGCGTTCAAAGGGGGACAGGTACGCATGGATGAACTGGGACACGACAAGAGAAATATCTTTAATTTCTTTCAGTTCCATGTTCAATTATTTGAAGCATCTTGGTGTCAGATTAAAAAATAAAATTTGTGAAATACTTCTATGGTACACTATATGCAAACTGTACTAATAACAGCAGAAAAAACATCACTAACCCAATAAAAATAGCTCTAAAGCTAATTAAAATTAGCAGTAAAACTTCAACACTCATAAACTTTACACAGTAACACAGGAATAAAATATTTCAGTTTTACTTTTTACTTCTTTAACAACAGCAAAAAATAAATAAATTAATTTAAAAAAAAATCCTGCACTTTTTTTGTTGAGTTTGAAGTAGATACACAATGATGTTGTAGTTTCTCCCTATTTTGCTTCCTCTCCCTTGACCCCAACCCCCACATCTAGCCCTAGTAAGGGTCACATCAGCAGGCTTGACGTGTGACCTGGATCAATAACTGTTTAAATCTGCTGGCCCCTGGTGAATTCAAACCGACCCACTCTCCATCTCCTCCAAAACCTCCTCTACCAACCTCATTTGATAAAAGCGTTGACTTCAAAATAACTTTAAAATCCTGTTTTAAAAATCAAGGTGCTAGTTTGATGTTATCAAAATAAAATATGTCGATTTTTTTTAAAGGCGTTTCTAAAAGAAATTTAAAAAGTGATAAATTTAATATGTCAGTACTAATGATTAATATGTTATAAACGGAGAAAACATCAGCTTCTGTTCAGAAGGGGAAAAAAATTCTCATGAAGATCAAAAGGCAAAGGCAACAATACCCCTCCCAGCAGAAGAAAAAAGAACTAAGGGGGCCTTGATACTCGGGATAGTCTTTGAATATTCATTTAATGCAGGGTTAGAGGTGTATCAACTTTACCCCCTCTGTCAGTTGTGATTACAGCCAGAGAGTAGTGAGTGTGAAAACAGATCATTACTGCCTCAAAGAGTCCTGGGAGGGCTGCTGTGTTCAATACCTCTCCCTAGACTGTGCTGATCCAAAGATATCATTCCCCTTCAGTGTATTTCATTATGCAACACTGGATTGGGTTTCATGGATGTATGCGTGTGAATAATTGATCATATTTATTACCTATATGGAGATAATTATATCAATTTTCGCTTCACCGGGGTAAAACACGGCACCTTTTTGAGGGTATTTGTACATATACATCTATATATTTATATGACTGAAACAAGGGGAAAAAGCCCTCCTGTCCATTTAATTGATAACAGATGTAAGAGCCCTGCCAAGGGGGTGAAGGGTCACTGTTGTCATGGCAACGGTGTATGAGTAAAAGCAAGAGAGCTGGGGGGCTGGGATGGGATTGGGGAGGGGTTGGGGGTCAGAGTTCAGAGGTCATTACTGCAGCTTTTTTAGACAAAGGGACCACTTCCCCTTCCTTCCACTTGCCTTCTGATGGATGCTGATGTAGGGAGCTTCTGTGATGTGATGGTATAGACCTTGACACCACCCCCAACGACCACAGCTACAAAGCCACACTGACCCTTTGGCAGCCGCCCTTATCCAACCTTATCTGGTGCTACAAAGGTAGCAGAGGGTCCACAGAGCCACATACTGACCGCCCCACGCCCACAACCCATCTGTCTTCTGCCCCTGTACGCGTGGCCATGCTATAGATTACAAACGGTGGACAGTGGGCACCTTATGGTCCTACCTTTGATACAAAAGCATCTCAAGCGGTTCACAAAACTTAAAGATCCATGGTAACAAGGTCCGCATAAAAATACCAGGTTTGCCACCCAATTTATGTCTTCTAAAAACCCTCCTAATCAAAACAGACGCTACTGAAATTTAATGGTATTTTTGGTCAAATGGAAAACTTTTAAAAACATTTCCTTCTACTGTTTCCCTAAAGACTTAAAGTATGACCAAATGCAAACTCATTCATTTTAGGTGACATGTTGCCATCTAGTGGTAACTTAAAAGCTTTAAGTTGAGGGCTTTACGTTGTAACTTGCTGCAGCTTGAAAACCTCAACATGCAAAAATGTCTCTTAGTTGTCACATTAGTTACTACTTTTTGGTTGGTATAGAGTTTGATATCAAGCTGGAACATTATCTGACCTTAAAATGTTGTTTTCAGATGTTTAATCACAAGCAGAGTATTATTGTATCACAACATTGTGATACAATAATACAATAATACCACATAATAGGTTGCTTCATCTCTTCTGGATATGGAAGCTATATCATATCCAAATACAGAGATATACTTGTGTTTCCTGCTTGTTTTCTTGAGACCACTGCAGGTTCAATAGACGTCTTTCTATTCTTTCAGATGCTACAACTGTGGAGGCTTAGACCACCATGCCAAAGAGTGTAAGTTACCTCCCCAGCCAAAGAAGTGCCACTTCTGCCAAAGCATTGACCACATGGTTGCCAGCTGCCCAATCAAAGCACAACAGTCTTCACCGGGTTCTCAGGGAAAACTGTTCTCCTCCAAAGGAGACGAGGAGGAGCACAGCCAGCAGGCACCACCTACCGAGACCTCTGATTAAACACAGGATCCGACTCTGGGGAAGCACAGAGGCCAATCAAACTGCTTTGATGGAGTGGAGGGAGACTCAATCCCCTTCCACCTGTTGAAGCTGCTTTTGGAACTACCTCAGGTTAAAAATACTCATGAAGAATGTTGCTGAAGTCTTTTTTTTTTATTTGGTTTTTATTTGGTGTAACACTCAGGAATACTGCTGTACTATTGCACTCAGGACGCTTGCTTAATGTATGAATCACTGGTATTGGGGATTGGAGATTGTAGTGAGCAATGCTATGTAATGGATGATCTTCAGGAGTTTACGTAGATTTCTGTTATATAATAATGTGCCTCTGCTGTGGGCATTATACCTCTTCTTCTTTGAGTAATACTCAGTGTGTTTAGTATAGCTACACTTTTGCTGCCTTACCATTTTGTTTCCTTCCCGACTGTTACACCTCACTATCCGACAGGGCGTAGATGTAACAGTTAGTACATCTGTAATGAATGTTAGAGTTTGCATATCATACGGGGATGGGGGAGGGGTTTGTGAAATAACATTGGGGGGGGGGGGGGGGGGTTTAAGGGTATGTTAGCAATGAATTGGCAGCTGCCAATATTGCAATTGACCATCCAGTTTTCCTGGGGCCAAATGAATGTTAGACCAGAGGTGCTTTCCAGCTTTTGGTCAGGTTTGTTTTTTTAAATTTGTTTTTTGTTTTTTCATTTCATTTTTTGTTCATCCAGTATTTGGCTGGCTATCTAAAAGTACATGGTTTACCTCACTGGTCCATGTTTGGTCTGCTAGTAAATCTATCATCCTAAAAGCCGATGACAAACCAACTATTCTCAGAATACAGCTTCAGAGATTGTGATTTGAACTGGGGTTAAGTCAAATCCTCTTTGCACTACAGTATTTACACCACACCGCCATACTTCCTTAAAGAGTAACTCAACAGTTCCCTGACTTTACTGACCTCTAGCGGATTGACTTGTCACTTCACACGTCGATGGATAGGTTTACCAAACACTTTGTGAAATCAGTCTCTGGTGAGCATACATCAGACCACATCCAAGCCAGGCTCTCAGCCTTTCATATAGTCTCAGAATGGGGGGAGTTTGTGGGGTTATCTTGAGTTGAGGTTGGCGATTATGTCAGGGCTGTAACACATTAAAACAGCTTATGAAAGTGAAAGCAAACTCGGTAGAGCGTTAGAGAAGTGAAGTTAACAGATCTCTGTAGTCTGTTTACCATATATGCTTGAGGCTGAGAGCTCGGTCTAGTGTGCCAACCATAGCCTAGTGTGTCTTTCTGAAAAACTGGTATAGGGTTTCGGTAATTAACAGGAAGAAAGAGGTTGGGGGACTATTTTACAAACCCTGCCCATTTTCTGACAGGAAGTTTTCTTTGGGCACACATACTACACCATACCAGCTGTCATGTGTTGCACTACCTTGGGATAAAACATAGCAATCAAAATATTGACCCAAAGGGGGCAGCAAAAAAAAAAAAGGTTTCTCTTCATTTTAAGTTGTTTTCATGGGAGTTTGAACCATTGTCAACTTTCCATGTGAAGTATCTTCTAACTGCAGTGGCTGCTGTGCATAAGAGCGCTGTTTTATAATCACCTCAATTTGGATTTGAAAGAATTTAAACCAATGCGACACAAACCCCGTTACATCTATGTCACTTCTGGTAAGATATTTGATCTGGACTTAAGTTAGTAAAGGGTCTGGCTAGCTCTCCTCTTGCTTGAGTAAAACTGAGGCAGAATCAGACAGTGGGAAGCCTGGTGTTTTTGTTTATATCCACTAGTAGGTAGTTATTTAAGACATTACCTCCCTATAACCCTTAGTAGGGTAGTAGTTCAGGAACACCAAGCCTGCACGGAGGAGCATGTAGGTCTAGCTAGCTAATCAGCATTTTACTCCCGTTTTACAGGAGAAGCTGACTGAGTCTTTTACACCCAATTAATATATATGTAAAATTATTCTAAAACTTTTTTAAAACTATCATACTTATTTATTTTCATCCAAAAGTGCTGCAGCTTCTCCTTCCGCTCCGATTGAAGCCTCGCAGCACTGAATGTTCTAGTAGACAGCAGAAAATTGGCAAATATCATTAAAAGCTACATATGACTTGAGAATACATTGGGGTAATACATTTTTAACATCAAGGTACTCATAATACTTTGTACATATGTGCTTGATAATTCATTGTAATGTAATTTAATATGGATGCAATGCTACAGAAATATTGCAACCAAAAACAAACAATATACAGTGCATACTGTACAGGTACACAATATAGGAACCGATGTTAAATGTGAGGGGGGTTTTTTTGTATGATTTTCTTGTGAGGGTTTTGTTTTTTTCTTTGGTGCACAATTAACCTTTTCAGAGGAGAAGCCCATTGTTGTTAATGCCAAAACCAATGCAATATTACTCTGCACTAATCGTAAAATGCATTAATATTTGTTCTATTCAGTTTAATCACTTTTGAATATATGTTTCCTATTTTATATATATTTTGAATTTTCACAAACTACACACAGTTCAGTTGGTTGCTGGTTGGGAAAAAAAGATACCTCCGCTCTTTAGGCTCATCTCAGGAATTACCAATCTGAAATCTCAGGGAATGCTTCAGATTGATTGGAAGGAGTCATGGGGTGTTCAAGAAAAAGCAGGGATTAAATGCTCATTCGCATGATGTGAGGTGTGTGACGAGGAAGCCAAAGTGAATGTCTTGGTGCAACAGTTTCAGTTTTTTACTATAATACAGTTTTGATTATGAAAACAATGACTACATGATGATGATGTGAAATGATTGTTGCTTTTTGACTCTTTCATATGTCCATGCACCCAGTGTGATGATGTTCTTTATATTTTTTTCCTCTTTCAAATAACTTGCCAATGATATACGATATGAAGAAAATGTTCCACTATTATTGTATTTTTTTTCCTCTATAATCGTTGTAGATGGGTATATAGTAGAATATTGTAAAGGGGCTGGGGTTAGTAGTGTATAATCCGGTGTTGTCTCATCTCAACACATCGATCTTTGGTGTTTCAGACTATCAATGCTCATGACAAAAAGAATGTGTGTCACGGATTGCTTCATACTCTGCTGTTAGTCTTCAAAGTTTGACGGTTGCTAAATTGTTTTGATAAACATTTTTTTAAAAGGATGGAAAAGGTGGCGTGCTGAGAGTTTATTTTTCTGCACACTTTGATTTTTGAATTTACCACAACTGCAGCGCCAGTATGTCATCAAAGTGTCGCACTGTAATCACTCACACTCTAACTGGTTTACGGGAATTTCAACACTGACCAATAAGGGTAACTGAAAGTATTTGTTTTCAAAATATCACTTGGAAACTAAGGAAGGTCATTTCAGACTTCTGATTGTAACAAACCTCTTTGGCCCCTCAGTGGTGTGCTGTTGTGATTTTATTGTCAGGTGTTGGGTTAGATAGGCTTTAAAATCCAAGGACCCACCCATGAGACTGTGTGCTCAGAGTAACTTTTGAAGCTCATCAAGGCATCCTGTAATACAGTAGTGTTAACTTGTGCTTTTAATGGTACATCTTACTTGTGACCGTCAGCCATTTAATTTGTGGTGCTGTATTTTATCAGGTAATGGCTACAGCTACTTTTAGAAAGTGATGAATGTATCAGTGTTTGTTTCCATAGAACTACACTTAACTTGATCTCAGGCAATTTAATGGCAAGTCTGTCAACGATGAGCAGCATGTAGGATTTTCAAAGTATTACTGTGATTATGTTTTATACATTATATGTAAAGATCTGCTCCGTTTCCTAATAAATATGTTAATATTCATGATTTTTTTAATGCCTTCTTACTCCAATCACCCAGTCACAAGACTTATCACACTCACTAAAGTATTAACAAAACTTAGAAAAAGTACCAGAAGCACAGTCTAAAGGTTTTCCAATACATGAAAGAGTTTTCCATTGACAGAATTAAATTAGCTGGTACTTAAATATCACCTTTCTACTCAGTAGAGTGCTTAAAGTGCTTTCTACTACAAGTCTTATTCTCACATGTATTCAGTTTTATCTATGCCTAGGTGTTTGCTCAGATTCACACACACTTGCCTGATGAAGCTGCTTCAGCACTGGAGGAATCCACAATATTCTGATTGGTAAATGGTCCACAGATTCCCATTGGTAGTGGGGTAAAAAAGCACATACTAGAAGATGCAATGCTGAATCCTGAAGCAACCTTGAGCATTCGTTAATTGCACCTTGGAATACAAGAACTTCAGAACTACCTTAATTCTTTGTGGCACTGATTCAACAAGGTGGTGAAAACATTCCTCAGATATTTTACTGACATCACAATGACATCATAGCACCACAGAGATATTGCACATCCATGACTCAACCTTTCCATTCAACCACATCCCAAAAGTGCTTTATGGAACTGAAACCTTGTGAGTGTGGAGGCCAAGTGGAGGAAAGCAGTCTGAGATGATTTGAGCTTTATCACATTGTGCATTATCTTGCCTGAAGCAGCAATCAGAAGATGGGTGGATGTTCCTAAGGGAAAAGAGAGTCAAACTCAGTACAAGCAAAGTGTACCTAATAGAGAGCCCAGTAAATATATTTAAGTAGGCTAAGAAATTCTGTGGAACTTGAGCATGTTACATCGCAGTATTGTCGTAACCCACCCATGTCTCGTGATGTTCTTAAGTATGACTCAGTAAAGGAAAATAAAAAAGAGAAAACTGAGTAATCCGTTCCAATAATCTATTTTCGACATTTCCCTTCCCTGAAGCGAAATACTGAAAAAAAAACCAACCAGTTCCTCATATTTATTTCATCCAAAAAAGGACCTTCTGACGGTGTGTAGAAACGCGGAGTTCATCTCTCATCCAGCAGGGGGCAGCTCTGTGTTTACATTTTCAATGACACAACCTGACGACTACAGTCCAATATGGCCGTAGTATGAAGAGTGCCAGCTCAAGTCTGGCTTTAAACTACAAATATTATTAAATAGTCGGGTTGTTTTAAT